AGCTTCCGGTAGTCCGGAAAAGAACCGGGAGATGTTGGCAGCAGAAAGGCAAGGCTGAGCGGTCATACAGTGTGTGACTGTACTGTACTTTTTTTTTTTTTTTTACTTAGTCTTAGACTTGAACTTTTTCCCAAAGGCCCTCTCCAGCTCAGGGACAGATAGAGTGAGGGTGAAAGAGCCGTCTGTCTCCGACCTGACGACCCGGGCTTAAAGATGACGTGGGGAAGAGAAAGCATCATAAATGATGTAAAGTGGTTTTGAACATTATATATATACACAAAATAAAAGAAGATAGTAAGACCATTTAAAACAAAACACAAACAAAATCATATCCACATCTAATTTAGTTTTGAAGCTACATTCTGTAGCGTGAATGTTACAGCAATCGAGTCAGAGAGGATTTATTCTGCCCTAGTTTGTTGTACAAAGTAAATATTTTGGGGGGAAAAAGTTGGAAATCAGGGCAGCAAACACAACAATTACTGGTAAAATTTGTGCATGACAGGAAACACTCCACTCACTCGCTTCATTATGTTCTCTCTCACGCTCACAGGCTTTTCTTAGTGCTGAGGTCATAACTCAGGAAGGTACTGTTATGATTGGCTGAGGCTGTTTGGCAGCTCTACTGAGTAACCAACTGATGATATCACTCTCATTCTTCTATTAGCCTCTGATTGAAGTAGAACTCAAGGAGATATAGTGATGATAAAGTGCACTCGTGCCCATACTAACGTCTAACTCTGCCAAATGAAACATTACAAAAAGACATAACTAAAAGAATGAAAATAATATTACCGTACTTGAGTATTTACTTGACGTTCTGTCAGTTCGAGACCTAATGCCACATCCATACAGTGATCATGCAGGTGTGTGTACCCACCCAGGTCATTGTTGTTCATCATGGCATTGGAGCCCCGGAGGCGTGGACCCTGCTGGGTGAAATGATACCCAAACTTCAGCAATGTGGTGTTTTTCTCCAGCATGTTGGCTATTTCCATCTCCACTTTGTTGCCTAAGGGCTGACTCTGGAGTTCACAGAGAGTGCAGGAAAGGATGGTGGAGAGAGGAAGACGAGAGAGGAGTAGATGATTAAAGGCAAAAAAAAAAAATAAAAAAATCAGTGGTGGGATTGAGGGTTTAAAAAAAAAAAGTTGATTTCAATCAATAACTGGACTTGAAAAGCAAAAAAGAAAGGGCCAAGAACAAGGAGAGAAATAAAAGTAGGCATTAGTGGGCAATGAGTCACAGATGTCCAACTATGGCATATGAGACATTGCAATGCAATCAGCGAGCATTAGACCAAAGTGGCAATGATGAACTGTGTACACTGCATGACACATACATACTGTTCCAGTGTGTTTAAATCTGTCTGTACTCTATGGAGGGTGTGAGCTTTTACCTGATTGTCTATCTTGAGCTCCAGTAGTGTGGTGTTATTCTGCAGCGACTCTATGAGGGCCAGGATTCCAGTCCCTGTTATGAAGTTGGACTCAACGTTCAGACTCTTGAGCATCGTGTTAACTTTCAACATCTCTGCCAGGGCCTGAGAAAACACACAGCACTTTGTATTCAGGAGCAGCTTTGAAGCCAGGCTGCTCTTGTCAGGCTTTCGTTGTGGTTTGGTCCCCGTTTTGATTTTGATTTGGTTTTTCTTCTGTTCATATTGTACAAATGTCTCCACTGTTTCCTACTCTTAGTCTCTGTTTTGTCTGTGTTAGTTCCCTCGTCTTGCTTGTTTCCATCTCCTGCTTCATTTTGGTAACTGC